TAGGTAGGTTGCTCAAACACGCCGATGATGCGGCCTGTTGCCTCCCCAGAGGCATTTCGCCCGCCAGAGGCTGCGGCAGCCTCGACTTGTGAAGGATGGCGTTAGAGGAAAGGAGGATTGTGTGCGGTTGTCAAGTGGTGGTGATGCAGACGTTAGGCGTTGGTGTGGAGGGACATACACAGAAAGATGGGAAGAAAGACAGACAAGATGGACAGACAGAGAGAACGACGGACGCACATTTACAGACAGACAGATGGACGAACAGAGAAAACGTCAGGGAGACAGACAGAGAGACAGAGACACAGACAGACACAGACACCGACAGGCAGACAGACAGACACCACAGGACGTGCAAACAAGCGAACCTCCTCTGGGGATTTCCCGTCCATGATCTGTGCGGCCATCTGCTCCTGCTGCTTCTGCTTCAGCTCGGCGACGAGCGCCTTCTGGGCGGTGTCGATGGCGCGGCGAATCGAGGGCGTGCCTTCTTCGATGGCGCTGGGGGTGAACACGCTGCAGTGCATCCGGTCGAGACGCCGTTCGTGCACGATGTACGAAAAATGCTCGCCAGTCATCTTGGCATACGACACGTCCCGGATGAAGAAGTGTTGCAGCTCCCTGGTGGTGACAGGTGGTGGCAGTCGGGTTGGTTGTTCAGGGGGTTGGGTTGGGTTGGGAGACAAGGGTGGTGACAGGACAGGTGGTGAGGCAGCGGAAAGAGACGAGTTTGCACGACGCCATTCATGTGCGACTGACAGACATGTTCACACAGCAGCACGTCCCGCAACACAACACGAAGTGCCAGCACCACCTCCAACACCAACACAACCAACAACTACAATCCCAGCAGCAACAGCAACATCAACAGCGGCAGCAGCGTACCCGCCGTGCTTGGTGTCCTCGACGACAAAGGCCTTTGCGTAGATCTTGATGGTGGCGGGTACGGGCTTTGCTCCAATCTTCAGCACGCGATCGCGCCCTTCCTCAAGCACTTCATCGCCTGTGGCAGGAAGAGGACACCCGGGGGGGGGGTGGTGGGGAGTGTAGAGGGTGGTTGTGTGAAGAATGAGTGTCGGGCGTGACGGCGAAGCGAGTCAACATGCGAGGCGTGCACACACGCATGAACATGGTCACATACGCACGCACACATGCACCATTGCTAGAGCCCAAGCACCTCCTCCCCCTCCATCCACACCACACATACGCACGCACACGACACGTATGTGCGAACGCACCTTTTGGCTTGCTGACGTTGACGGTACCGAGGTATGTGCCCGGGTACGACTGCTGCAGCTCGCCCTTATCAAGCTCGGGCTGCTTGGCGGTGGACGCGGCCAGCGCATCCCGCTTCGACGTGCTGCGGCGGCGCGCGCCCTTGCCTGAGGTTTGAGTGAGTAGGTGAGTGAGTGAGTAGGTGAGAGAGAGAGAGTGTGTGTGTGTGTGTGAGTGAGTGTGTGAGTGAGTGATTGAGTGAGTGAGCGAGTGAGTGAGTGAGTGAGTGAGTGAGTGAGTGGGTGACCAGGAAGTCATCAAACAGTGTCGCAGGCTACCTTTCTTGTCTGCAGCGGCCTCTGTCTTCTCTCCCTTGAGCGCCTTGAACGCCTCATTGATGGCGACGGGGATGAGATGCGCGTCGCGTGCAACGCGGAAGGTGTGGCATGTGTTCAGACGCGCCTGCGCGTCATGCTCAAAGAACGACACCTGTCGCAGCACAAGACAACAGCCATGAATGGGGGCAGATAGGGACGATGGTGAGTTGACATTGCTACCACTACCTGCGACAGATTGATGACGTGGGCGCTCGTGAACAAGTGGCACATGTGCAACCACAAATTGCCACTGGCCCACGACGGACATGAAGTCGAGGCAGTGACAACCTGTTCTCCGAACACGAGCAGCTGCAACAAGAGCAGGAACAGGAACAACAGTAGCATAGCAGTGGCACAACTGACCAGCTTATCGTCAATGGGGTCCTGTGCCACAAAGGTGACGTGCTTGATGTTGACCTCCTTCACCACGTCCTTCGTCTTGGCGTCAATCAGGTACAACCCCAGGACAGTGACCTTGAGGCGGATGGGCTTTGCCTTGAGTTTCAAGTCCCGAAGCCGCTGCACGGCGTTGGTTGCAATGTCGTTGCCGGTCGCCGCCTTCACCGGGACAGAGCCGACGTACTTGACTTTGAACTCCTCAATCTCCTGGCCATAGTCAATATGGCTCTTCACCTTGGACGATGAGCCTCCCATCTTCACTTGTCTCCACGGGTTGCTGTGTGTCGTGTTGTGTTCTCCTCACGCCTCCTGCCACTGCTGCTTCTCGTACACTCCTCCTCTTCCTCTTCTTCTTCTTCTTCGGAAGCGAACCTGTGTTTTGATCGAGTGCAGTGGCTCTTCGCCTCGCCCTGCCTGTCCCAAGATCACCACTGCCTGCCTCAAGCTTGCTTGCTTGCTTCTTGCGACGTCGCTGGATGGGGGTGACGGTAAGGGGCGTGAGTTGTTGTTGTTGTTGTGGGTGTGTGTGTGTGTGTTGTTGTGGGAAGTGGCGTGTGTTTGTTTTTGGTTTGTTTTGATTGGTGGTGGTGGTTGTGGTTGCACCCATCCCCTCGCATCCCATCGCATCCCCTCGCATCGTTCTCCCACCGTTCTCCCGCCACACGCCCCGCTGCCACGGGTTGGTCACATACACACACTGGTCGTTTCTCTCACACGCTGTACCACTCTCCAGCGTCGTCATGTCGGATACGCATGCAAACTCGCCCGCTTACCAGGATGCCATCATCAACCAGCGATCCCTCTCTGCACGTGCGTGCGTGTGTGTGTGTGTGTGCGTGCGTGTGTGTGTGTGTGCGTGCGTGCGTGCGTGCGTGCGTGTGTGTGTGTGTGTGTGTGTGTGTGTGTGTGTGTGTGTGTGTGTGTGTGTGTGCGTGTGTGTGTGTGTGTGTTTGCGCTTGTGACAGCACCCTCTTGCACTCGATGCGTAAATATCCCTCTTGCTCTCCATACACCATACAATACGTAACGAGTTCCTCCCCTTCTTGCACTCAAAAAACCTTATTGGCGCGCACTTCTTGAAGGGAACAAAACCTCGGAAAGGGAGTTAGGGTGTTTGATAGAAAAGACCTTGGTTCGTGTGTCGTCAAAACACCAAAAGGAATTAAGTACTGCAATTACCCCCCACAGAGAAAGGTGGGTTCTTGCCACTGTCTACTGAACCCCATGAACTCCTGTTTTTTTCCAATAGAGTAAGTAGAGTAGATTGAAAATTGAGATTAGATGAGAAATGACACAATGGGCCACCATCTGAGCCATAGTCGA